CAGAGAGGTAGATCCCCCTACACGCCTATGACAGTACGTAATGAATTCCGAACAAGTGGACGTAGAGAGGTAGATCCCCCTACACGCCTATGACAGTACGTAATGAATTCCGAACAAGTGGACGTCAATAACTTTGCCTGGACATGTATGACCTGTGTATGTCTTAATAACAATGAGAAGACAGAGTAGGTGGTTCGGATTATCCAAACCATATATATATATATATATATATATATATATATATATATATATATATATATATATATATATATATATATATATATATATATATGTGTGTGTGTGTGTGTGTGTGTGTATACATACACATATACACACACGGACTATCTCGGGTAGCTGATACGCTGATCATCCTGAAGTTCACTGCGGATGATTTCTATCTCATCTCGATAAAGTGTTCATGTGGAAATTAATATGAAACAGCCCTCTGACGTGTATCACAAAGGTTAACCTTGAGTATCCGCACGCCTCAGGTGTGAAGACACATCCTGTTACTTCTGTCACGTGCTACAGCTGGCACTTCCCCTTTGTCTCGATCTACGTAATATGGTTTCTGGTTTCCTGAAAGAGAACCTGACGAAACTAGTTATGGCGGTCAATTCACTGTGAAGTGAATGTACTTTTAAAAGAAACTAGTTTGTACATTATGCAACAAAATTATTTCTTCTTCTCTTCCCAACTGCTTTCTGATTTGTTATGTCCGAACATCTTCAGTTTTAGTTATAAATTTCGCATTTTGTGCCAAGGGCATAGATATTACGGAATTTGTCTCATGAGTAAACAGTCGTATTCTATTTAAAAAGAACTTGTTTCAACCACATAGTATTATTATATGAGTATACTATTAGAGTATGTTAAAAGATATTACTCTTGTAGTTTTTGTACCTAAAACAAAACAAAAGGTTTTCAGTGAAATTTAGCTAAAAATTGACAAGATCTTGAAAATAAATCAGTTCATTATTAGAATATCACATATTCAAAACAGTCACTTGTGTACTGTACTATGCTAAGTATCTTTTGTTATTGAATAATTCATATTAGAAATGTAATAGTTAATTATTTAAAAACAGTATCAATGTTTGTATATAGAAATCGTACAGATATAAGACATTGCAAGCCTTAAATAAGAATTCAGCACCCCCCTAAAAAAGGAACCGTTGAGAAAAAAAACTTCCAAAATTTTTCTTGTATCCAGTCCTTTCAATCAATAGGTAAATGAACTAATTTGTCTGCCTAAAACATTGCCTCTACTTTGGGTATCTAAAAAATTATGTGCCTAGGTGAGAAAAATCAGACCTGTAAACTTTTCATAAGGGTGATGTAGTGGTATTAATAGTTATGGTTATCCTTCAAAGAGGTGGTGTTCAACGACAAAAGTACAGAAAAGATATTACAGACGTGTTCCAAAGAGGTAAAATGTAATGGCACATTTTTTAAAAAATGTGAAAAAGAATGTTGATTTGATATTAGGAAATGTATTAAGTTTAATTGAAAAAATACTTAAAAATCATTATTTTTCAGACAACTTTAAAACATTGCAATTTTGCATTGCATTAGCACTACATAGAATTAATGTAGAATGGTAAAATTTCTTGTCAAGTTGATCATATCTCACTAATATTTACAACATAGTTTCAAAAAAATCCTTTTTTTCTGTTATTGTGACCTTAAAGCAACACAGGAAAAAAAAAATTAAGAAATTGCATAATGCTCTTGAAAACTGTGACGACATGTGACAGTCCACAAGTCCTTCACACACCTTATGAGTTCATGGTAACACAGCAAGTTTTCTAGGTTCACGAAAGTTTAAGACGGTAGAAAATAAGTCAATAAAGCTGACACAAGTGCATTCTCCCTTAAATAAATTAATATCAATATTTATACATTCTTAATAATGTACAAAATTAAAATCCTAAGCAAGTAAAATTATAGATTGCAAATTTGGGAGTACTTTGACCATAAGAAAATTATTTTTTTAACATTATGGTAATGAGAGAGAATTTGTCCCTGCCCTCTCTTCCTGGAAAATTTGAGTCTCTCCCGAAAGTAGATTGAGACTACAAGCGTAATAATTCCTAAATGTTCTGAGAGTATGCATGTTTTACTTTATTTTCAAATAATAGATGTTTTGAGTTATTCAACTAATAAATTTTTAATTGAATAAAACTTTCAACATCACCGCTCTAAAAAAAGTCTCGCCTTGATGCTGCTGTTCTATTCTATGAGTTCTATTCACCAATGCAGCCAATATATCTGCCAAATTCAGTAAATATTAAATGTATGTATAAATGAAGAAGATTTGAGGATTAAGTACTAGAAGTTTAATTTACAACCCACTTACTTTTATCAGAATAAAATACTCAAAATGATTAGCCTTTCCATTCCATTCTTTTAGACATATTTCTACCAATAATTTATTTAAAACGCTAGAGTTTTCTTTTCAGAACTTAGTGTTGATACAAATGAAAAATGCAACACAATGTTATTTGTTGTAATTTTTTATTTTATTACACATTTCATTTTGATTAATGATATATTATTTTTCTGGCAATTGTAAGGAAGCTTTACTTAACAAGGGCATTGTTTATCAATATTCTCTTTTAATCTTGCCACTGTGATAAGATATTCCATTTACAATCAGAACAAATACTAAAATATTATTTGTAAATATAAATATAAAATCTGAAAAAAATATCTTAACAAAGGAGCAAAACAATCTGCTACAATGCTATATTGAAATATAATTCAACTTTCTGGGCCCTTAGGATAACACACTTTTTTGTGAGGAAAAATTAAATACAAGAGCTCTAGAAACAAAACTAATCATCATATTGGAAAATCAACTTCAACAAATTCATAATATTGGGAATCAAGACAAAATTATTATAACATGCTGCAACCAATTTTATACATTTGTCATTCTTTTCATGAATATATACAGATCATAATTATTAAAAGGTCAACTAAATATGTGCATCCACAAGCCATAATTTTGTCCAAGAAGAGCTACTCAATTGTAAACAAAATTCAAGAGTTTCAAGGATATTGCAAAGAACTTCTACAACCATGTTTAAGATACCCTTTGACAAATTTTCACAGCCAGCCACTTCACTCACAAATTACGGTAAAGTGTGGCTAGCGAATAAGCATCCTTAAAATATATAAAATATTATTTCTGTCATCTCTGGGTATAAGTTGGAAAATCCCTATATATATACACTGCACTTACCAACTTAATCCCAGAGACCACAGGTTTAAGAATTGACATTAAGTGACTATAATGTTTACACACATACTAAATGTGGCAAGCATGCAATTTATTACAACTTCACAAGATGCTTTTAATGAAAATTGTTTTTAAATAAACTTCCCTAATGTTCAGTTCTAAAATAGAAAAGAAACAACTTGCAACTTATTCAAAAGTACATTTTTTCCATTTCATGATTCTCATCAGAAGCTTGAGTCAGAGAGGTAGTACTTATTTCTCACAGTTGTTGAATCGCACTTGAATTTCCGACATCAAAAACATGAATAAACTATCAAATTACACAAAAAATATGAAAAAAAGTTTATTGGCACACTGACAATTATTTCTAGTACCACTGTGTGTACTATTACAATAGTAATAAATAGAAATCACATATTTACATACAAAATTACTGAAAAACTGTTCAACTCTATAACACAATAGAAAATATGCTTAGCACATCTGAAATTTCCACTAAATTTACTCCAAAGTGATAACTTCAACATCACTACCTACAACTGTCTTTGGTTCTTCCTTCTTAGCTGGAGCTGGAGGGGAAACACGTTTTGTTGGCATTTTTGTTGAAGTCACCCGTTGCACTTCCATAATGGACACAGAGTCTTTCACTTTTTTAATTGGTGGACTGTAATTCACTGACAAGTCAAGTTCCTCCTCCTGGCTCGCAGATATGTCAGTATTAAACGAAGCAGTCTGTTTATAATTTGAAGAAACCGGATGAATGGTTATAGGATTATCTGCTGAAGTCATTGGAATAATCTGAAGATCTTTAGATCTTTGTGGAAATAATGAAAGACCTCCACTAGGTGAAGAAACAGTTATTTCAGGATTTGCATGTAAATTATTTGTGAGAGATCGAGATCCAGGTCCAGAGTTTATTAAAGATTTATGTTCTACTTTAGATACAGGAATATGACTTGATTTACTTTCAGCTGATATATTTGAAACATTTCCGTATGTGTCATGTGTAAAGCCTGACTTACTTCCATTTCCTTGGCTGGGATATGAATTTTTGTAACCAGAACTTTTAGATGGAGATATATTGATCACCGATGTTGAAGGAGAAATGGTGAGGCCTTGATTTTTAATTCCTGTGCTACTTAGAAGTAACTCTTTATTTTTGAAAGCTGTTGAAAAATTATCATGACTACTGTATTTAGTATCTTTCAATGAAGGACTTGGTCCTGAACCAGCAGGAGTCGCATATGTAGATGATGAACGAGAAGATTTTTCAAGTAGAGACGAACCAAAATTTCCACTGGAATTGTTGGCAGAGGCACTTGAAGCACTTACAGGTGCAGAATTTTTCAGTTTTACAGTATTTGAATGACTAATTGGGGTAATTGAAATATTAGGTCTATCTTTAACATAATCAGACACTACATTTGAGGCTTGAGATGATGGTAATTCACAATCTAATTTAAAATTGGAAGGATTCAACTGATTAGTACTAAATGGAACACCTGACAATGACCCAAATAAATTAGGAGGTACTTGAGGCAATGACAGATTGTGAGCAAGTTGACACAAAAGTTCTGTCTGGATAGAGGTTTGAGTTAATGCAGCCTGATAAAAATCAAATGGTAGTTGAGGAAATTGAGAGTCTATTCCAGGAAGCATTTTGCCCTTCATTGCCGAAGCCAGAAAATTGGGATCAGAGAACAAAGAGCGAAGAGCATTACTATCACTTGCAACATTGACAGGCTTTTGTGACATTTTATTCAAAGATAACTTTTGTTGTTCCTGCTGAAGTTGCTGCAATTGTAGTAGTTGCTGTTGTAATTGTTGCAGTTGTTGAAATTGTTGCTGTTGGGACTGTAATGGAAGTAACAGTTCCTGAGCTTGAGATTGTTCTTTTGATTTACCTTGGTCTTGTTCTTGACGGAATTGAGCATGATGATATGGTTGTGGTAGTTGCGGCAGGGGTATTTGTGATTGTGAAATTTGATGTGGTTGTGGAGGTGACGGTAATTTATGCTGCTGTTGCTGCTCTAGTATTTGTTCTTGCTGTTGCTGCTGCAATTGTAGTATTTGCGCCTGTTTTTCTTTTTGAGACTGCTGTTTCAGTGAGTTTTGTTGCTCCCGTTGTTTCATTTCCTGTGGCCGCACTTCTTGTTTTGGTTTCTGCTCACGTTTTTGATATTGTTGTTTCTGTTGATTTTGTTCTTGCTGGAACAATATTTGTTTCATGTGTGCAATTTGGTGCTGCTCTTGTTTTGTCTCCTGCTGAGAAGCTTCTTGAAATGACTGGCCTTGTTGCATTTGTTCTCGTGGCAATTCAGGTTGCTGATGGTGTATTTGCTTGTCTGGTCGTTGCTCTTGTTGCAGTTGTTGCTTTTTGCGCTGTTCCTGATGTTTGTTTTGTTGCCAAAGTTCTTGTCGTTGCTCTTGTTGAAGCTTTTCTCTCTGGCACTGATCTTGCTCACATTGATCCTGCTTGCGTTTATCTTCCCTACACTGATCCTTCTGCCACTGAAGTTTCTGTTCTTGAATTCGCTGCTCCTGAATCTTTTGTTGTTTAAGTCTTAGCTCTTGCATCCTTTGCTCTTTCTGTCGTAGCTCCAGTAACGTTTGTTCCAGTGCCTTTTGTTCCTGCGAAGTTTGTTCTTGAAGCCGTTGCTCTTGCAGCTTTTGTTCTTGAAGCTGTTGGTCCTGGAACTTTTGTTTTTTACGCTGTAGCTCTTGCAGCTTTTGCTCTTTAAGTTGTAGCTCTTGTAGCATTTTCTCCTGTACTTTTTGTTCTTGATGCTGCTGCTCCTGCAACTTTTGCTCTTTAAGCCACAACTCTTGCAACTTTTGTTCTTTAAATTGCTGCTCTTGCAGTTTTTGGTCCTGGAACCGTTGCTCTGGCAGCTTTTGTTCTTGCGGTTTTTGCTCTTGCTGCTTTTGTTCTTGCTGCTTATGCTCTTGCAGCTTTTGCTCTTGTACCTTTGGCTCTTGTACTTTTGGCTCTTGTACCTTTGGTTCTTGTACCTTTGGCTCTTGTACCTTTGGCTCTTGTACCTTTGGCTCTTGAACCTTTGGCTCTTGAACCTTTAGCTCTTGCGACTTTTGCTCTTGCGACTTTTGCTCTTGCGACTTTTGCTCTTGCGACTTTTGCTCTTGCAACTTTTGCTCTTGCACCTTTTGCTCTTGCAACTTTTGCTCTTGCACCTTTTGCTCTTGCAACTTTTGCTCTTGCAACTTTTGCTCCTGCAACTTTTGCTCCTGCATCTTTTGCTCCTGCATCTTTGGTTCCTGCATATTTTGCTCCTGCAGCTTATGCTCTTCAAGCTTTTGTTCTTGCAGATTTTGATCTTGCAACTTTTGTTTTTTCATCTTTTGCTCTTCAAGTTTTTGTTCTTGCAGATTTTGATCATGCAACTTTTGTTTTTTCATCTTTTGCTCCTGCACCTTTTCCTCTTGAAGTTGTGGCTCCTGCAGCCTTTGCTCTTGAAGTTGTTGTTCTTGCAACTTTTGTTCTTGGAGCAGTTGTTCTTGCTTTTGTTCTTGGAGAAGTTGTTCTTGCAGCTTTTGCTCTTGACGCCTTTGGTCTTGCAGCTTTTGTTCTTGAAGTCGTTCCTGGAATCGTTGATCTTGAAGCCATTGCTCTTGTTTTTGCCTTTGTTGCACTAGGTGTTGTTGTTGCTGCTGCTGTTGAAACTGCTGAAATTGTTGGAGTTGTTGTTGTAACTGTAGTTGCTGCAATTCCTGTTGTTGTTGTTGCATGCCCTTTGATAGTGCATCTAACCAATTGATACCTCTCCGTGCATTTATAGAAGAACTTTCAAAGAAAGAACTTTCTTCCTGAAAAGGAAGAGACATCGTTTTGGAAATAGATGGTGGTCGCCCTCGTGGTCGGCTTGGAGGAGTAACAGAAAATGATTTCACAACTGATGAAGCCAGGAGAGCTGAAGCTTCTAAAAATCCCACAGATGATGTTTCAGGAATCTGTGAAATATTCAAATCAATCAGGCAAACAGAATTAATTATAAAGTCAGACAAAGCTTTATCAAAACATTACATCCGTAAAAAATCAGAATACATTATTTGAAATTGCTATGTGTGTGCAGTCTAGAACAGTTTTTTTTCAGATATACCAATTCATAAAAATATTCCAAATTAACAAAATGATAAAAACAAAGCTTATTTACTATGATACAGAAACAGAGTCTAATAACGGAGCTGGGGCCCCTTACTGCATCACATACTTTATTGCAATCAACAAAATGTAAAAACACTCACTGGTAAAGGAAAAGAAGACTGATTAGAAATCCCACCAGCAATAAGAGGATTAGAATTTCGTCGAATAGTAAGCTGATGCTGACAAAACGAAACTGCTTCCTCCAATTCTGCATTCTTGGCCTGCACAAAACGTTATGATCGAGAATACCATAAAAATCACATTATTAAACATAAAATATTACACCACTTTTAGGATTACATTTTCAGGGTTGAAATGATCTGTTACATTTAAATACTACCAAAGAAGAAAACTATTTTTATTTATAAGCAACCATATCTCAATTCACTTATAGTTGGATAGAAGGGAGAGTGTGAAAATAGTCTTCGTTCTTATGTGGAGTCTACATTAGGGGTAGCCAAAGATGGTGCTTTGGATGAATGAAAGAGGCACATTACACTCTTACACATAATTCATTTACAGTACTGTAAAAAATAACACTACGTGATAAAATTTAACTTTTTGCCTGTTAAATGGAATAAAATTACTGTTTCTTATGGAATACAATGCTCTGATTTTAAATTTGCAGAGAGTTTAATTGTAATGGGCAATTACAAAGTCCACACTGTTGTGAAGTAATTGGTTTTACTTACACATAAGAATCTCAATCAAAATGAAATTTTGAATGATAGTTTGCTTATTTTGTTTGAGGAACATCCCTTTTTAGTGTCCAGAAATAGTCTGTAAGCATATTTAGATTTTATTTTCCCTGATAACATCATTCCATTGTTTGAATGTCTTGGTGGAATCGCTCACCATGTTCGTTGCTCACTTTGCCGAAATTTTCAGGAAAAAAAGATATATGTGAACACAGAAAATGTATTTTAAGGGACATGTTCATCTCGAAGCTTTATAATTGTGAAAGAGTTCAGTCACTAGTTCTTCGTAGTTCTCAGCTTTTGTATTCAAAATGAAATTTTGAATGATTGTTTGCTTGTGTGACTGAATTCAATCAGTTATGAACTTTTGATGCAACATCCATGCTTCCTAAGCAACACCATTCCCATTTCCCTCAAAGTCATCATCCTTCATAAGCTGTTTTATTTGTGGTGTGGTATGAGGAAACCTGGCCCACTTCTATCCATCACCTTCACAAAATTTTTCATCACTCCGAGTTTCATGTGTATGGAAGTGTATGGTAATGGAAGACGATATACATGTTCAGGATTTACAAGTTAGACATTTTGTCAGTTATTGCAAAGTTACATTTTTGTTCAGGTACTAGATGTCGTTGAGGCCAGTGCTTCACAAAATTAATTTTTCAATCTCTGCTATCCCACTCAAAGAGAAAACAGTAAAATTTAGTGTATCATTTTTACAGACCCAACAAAAGTGTGATAACATTCAAATCGTTGCATACAATCCACAAATGTTGTGCGGATTGCATCTTTGATATCAAATATTTCATGATGCCATACGTCTCTTTCATATGGGATGTACAAGCAAGAGGAAATTCATTTCCAGTATGAATAACTCAGTTTAGAGGAATCTATAAATAACATCCATTACTTAGGAACTTGATCCACTTATTGATGATGCTTAGGATCCCAACTCACTTGGTAATGCATTAACATAAGTACAACACACTAGATTACCTTCTTTAACGTACACCAATTTTTAGTTTTTAAGAGCAGTAATTTTAGTTAACTTTTGAAGATGGTCCTTTAATTAGAAAGTCAACAATTCTGCTTGATTCTTTGACAAGTTTAGATCACAAACTATATCAATGAGTTTTGACAGATTGATTCTATGAGGTGATTCACACAGATATGTCTTCAATGTTGTCCTTTCTGGTACTTAGTTTAACAATAAATAAATTTTAGAAAATTTAGAAATAAAAATGCACACAATTTACACAATTCAATTGCTTTTTCTATTTCCATATTAATTTTCTTTACAAACAAATATATTAATTTCTTTTGTAAATAATAAACAATTTATGTTTCTGGAATGTTTACATGTTCCTGAAATGCAAATTTTTGCATAGAAAGTATTTTTTCAAACCTACGTGTGAGGGCTTTTTCCCGCTCAGCCACTGAAGATCTCAAAGAAGACTTAAGAGCTTATTTTCAAAGTTTTGTTGTTTCTTCCCTGATGTATATATTATTTTTCAGATTTTAGAGTTTTGTACTTATCTATGTTTGTTCCAACCTGCTCTTGCCCTTGGTGGTCCACCGTGCACAGAGTCCACGGTCTCTTTCTCTTTTTCTCTCTCTCTCTCTTTCTCCCGCTTATCTCTCATCCTCATCACATCCAAGAACTGAGGTCCGAAGATATCTTCACCACATGAAACTACGGCAACTACAGCAGCATGACAGCAACTGCCCTTTTACCCAACAGAGCATTCCTCACTATTGTAAAATAATACTCCAATAAATATGTATCATTTTGAATTGGCATACATTCATTTACTTGCGTAACTGAGTTATCCCTTTACACCATCTAAGAGTAGCAATCTGGCCCCTATACCTATCCCAACTTTGAAAGAAAAAGTGGTGTTCGACCACACATTTTAACTCATATGTGAAACCTCTGGTTTACATCTTTCCTTCCTACATTTTATAGTTCATTGCTGTATGTTTCTGGGCCTAAACAAAACATTAAAATATATTTAATATCCTTTCCAACCTTTCGAATTCATTATGCTTTCTAAGACCTTTAGAATTCTGTATGCACATTATCAAGCCACAAGTAACATTAATATGAATTAAATTCATTTAACTTAATAAAGAAAATCAATTAATACATGACATAAGGCTTAAATGAGAACTAGTGGTGATTCAACTGCATGTACATTCTTGGATTATTTTTAACTTTTACAATTTTTGAAAATTCAGAGTGTTCAAGAAAAATGAAACCTGCCTGCACAATTTGTTATGAGTTCCTTGTTCAATCCATGGAAGAAGAAGAAGAAGAAGAAGAAGAAGAAGAAGAAGAAAAAGAAGGAAAAAAAAAAAAAAAAAGAAGAAGAAGAAAAAATTGAAGGAGTTTTCAGAAAATGTTTTTTAATTTTTTTTTCATAATATGCATTAATTTCAAGCATAAATTACATGTGAACTATTTGCTTTTCCAAAATAATGTAGATAAACTTTTTTAAAAAGATAATTTTTTAGAACAAATTTTAAGACAAAAATCTTTAACTTCAAATTTGTAGTTTTGTAATGTTATCTTTTTACAATTTTTGACAATATAGAGAGTTTGTTAGAAATGGGATAAGCCCAAACATGATTTACCATCCTTTGATACATACAAAGAGAAAATGTAAAGAAAAAAATTGGAGCCGTTTTTGAAAAAATAATTTAGAAAAATTTACTATATTTCTTGCAAAATGTTGTGAAGAATACTGGTTTCGAAAAATTGGGCATAACCTTATTTTAAGAAGTCTTTCAATAGCAAATTTCAGTCAGTAAAATAATATCTATCCACAATATTGTAATTGAAGGGAAATGCCGAAAAAATTGAACTACTACAATTTTCGAAAAATCATGGATTTCAACGAAAATGTGACTTGCACTATTTTTATGCGTCTTTTATCCGAGGACAGACAAAGTTCAATAAAAAAATGTAGTCATTTTCGAGAAAATTTTGAAAATGTAATTGAGGGTTCAAGTAAAGTACTCCCAGAAATTAAAAAAATCGTTTTCCAACTCGCACAGCCTCGAGTTCCTTTAAATGGATCGGGGAATATAAATTTTGGAGAAAATCGGCTGAGCAATTTAAACGCTAGCGTTGACCACAGAGAGGCGTTTTTCCATCAATCAAGTTTTCAGTATCAGGGTCTTCCAAAACTTTCATTCTGACTACACAAAGTGATTGATGAAGTATGAATGTATCCGTATGAACTCCGTATCCTATCCGTATGAACAAGATTTATCCATTTTCTCGTTACCATTGGCGGCAATAAGAGTTTTTCTGTCAAAAATTCATTGTTTTCCGGCGCACATCTTCTTACGAAGTAACAGCGAGAAATTAAAAATTAATTAAAACCCCCACTAATTCGAACCTCGCCCACTTGAATCCCTATAACTAGAACCACACCTACTTCCACCTCCCTCAAGCCTAAGTCATTTTGTAAATGGTACACTCGTTTCTTGAACATGACACTAATAGTTATTATATGCGCGCATTTTTGTCTTCTGACGCAACTGACGATGCGTCTTTGTACTTTCGATGCAAAACAAATTGAATGTTATAAATTACGTTTCTAAAAATAGTGCTGTTTAATTTAGAAGGAACTTTATTGAAAACCATTTGAAACATGTGATTTTCGAATTTATAACTTTTAAACAATTTTTAACATCTATTGTTGGATTTGTAAATCGTATCAACCATCAAATCAATTGTTGTCTTTCGGCGCTTACGACTATTATAAAGTGCCAATTCTGGGTAGAACCCGGGTGGCCGAAGTGGTTGAATGTCGAGTCTCAGCGTTTCGTGGGCCGCTGTTTCGAGGCTGGCTCAGGTTTGTTTGTTGGTTTGTTTCTTTTTCTTTCTTTTTTTCTTCGTCTTTAATTGACACAACGCGTCTCCAAGTCCTGCGGGGCGTTGAGCGCTTTGCGCTTCCGGAGTAATCCTCCATTAATTATAACATTGCCATATCTGTCACGTCTCGTGGCAGGCAGTTGTCAAGAGGACAGCCAAGGAGCATCTCCGCGTACGCGCCTCCTACTACGCGCCCCTGCGTCACTACTCAATGGCCAGAAGAGGGTTTAGGACACTTCACAGGGGGTTGGACTACCCCCTGTGAAGCATGCAAACGCGTTTTGTCGTAACAAATTTCACATGATGGTCTCCGGGGATCGAACCCGCTTTGAGCATATTTGTCACATTTCTCTGTTGCTTTTAACGAGTAAACATCATTTACCGCGTCGAGTTATGCCTGCCGAGCTGCAATCTTTTTCAGCGACATTTATTTAACATTGCGTTAATTTTTCCGCTGCCTAATACTGCACTTGAAACACGAAGCTCTTATGGCTATTATAGGAGTGCTTGATCCCTGTACGACCCCGGTGGCCGAGGTTGATTAAATGATAAATATTGTCTCAGTGCTTCGGAGTCAAGGTTGGCTTATTCGAGCCTCGCTCAGGGAGAGGTATTTGTCACAATTCTGTGTTGTCAAACACAACTATTGAAAATTGCAGAAACTTAATTGAAAATGATTTGAAGTACTTCTACTAACAAATACAATCAATCAAGATAAATAAATTTGAACTGTATATGTGATTTTCGAATTTGTAACTTTTAACCTCCTTGTCTTTTCACATTTTCACAGCTCCGTAATGCTAGAACTGAAACAGTAGTATGTTTAGTAATATGGAAGTGTGTAGGTCTTGTCTTTCTGGTTGGCCAAGTCTGTTAAGTGGCATGTTCAGGTTCATCACTTGTAACCAAGAGGTCGCCGGTTTGAGTCCCACACGGGGATTTTAATTTGATGAAAATGTTGTAGACAACTATTAGGGATTCAAGAGACTTTATTGAAAATCATAGGAGGCATTTCTATCCACAAACGCATTCATTACATATACAAATAAACCGGACGTCTCTATATGCGCTTTTGCAATTTGTAACTTTTAAACATTTTTTCAACTTTCTTTTGCGATTTGTAAAACGTATGCCACATCAAATATATTGTTGAGTCTCTGTGCATCTGTACAAACCAATTTAAGTAAACTAATGAACCTATCGACATGAAATTTAAATACATTAAGAACACTAGCCATGTGACCAACTTAGATATTCGTAACAGTTGAGAATTTATTATTACCTTCTTGCTTTATGAATTCTTTGTAAAATGAGAAAGTTATGTAATTGTGCGCCAGAAAACGCTGCAATTTTGCTAGAATAAACCTCATTGCGGGGTTCTGGTAATGAAAAAGTGGATAAAACCTGTTGCTAAATTTAGAAAAAAAAACTCCCTAAACCGTTCAGCTGATTTTCTTCACAATTGATATACCCTGATTGGTCTTAACAGATTGGATGCATTGGGAGTGTCTAATGGATATTTTACTTGTTGAAAGTTTTTTTTACATAAGTCAGACATTTAAATTTTTTTATCCCTTTGTCTCAGTTTAAACCATACGGCGCTTCTGTGGCGAAGTGGTATGAGTGCTCTCAACTCTGAGGATCTGAGATCGAGTCTCGAAGCGGAAAAATAATTAGCAGCTTGACAACACTTTTGCTGGTTATGTAGTAGTGCAATGTTGCAGAGCTTTTAGAAACAATGCAAGAAAGTATGCTTTGACAGCGCCACTAGTTATCAGTGATTTTGAGCAATTTTTGATTGATTGTTGATTTTGTATATTTCTTGTACACACTGATTATAATTTATTCCTTGTAGTTTTGTTGATAAATATTCTTTGTATGCATTCTTGTCTACGAATTCTAGCTTCAGAAGGGTTTTTCTAAACCTTCTTTCTCTTATAGCTTTCTTGTTTATAGTTTTTGTTATCTTTACCATTCCATGATGTTTAAAATCTCAGTCTTTGTGTAACTTCAACCCTGTTGACTAAACACTGACTGTCATAATATAGACAAATTAATGTTTAGCTCTTCCATTTGGGGCAAGCCATGTTCATTTTTTCTAAAAGGTTTCTTAAAGAATGTATTGCTTATGATAACATTTTGTCCTTGTGCAAATTGTAGCAAGTGGTTTCCTCTTTTGTTCCTTTATTATAACGTACTCAAAGGGGAGAAAAAAAATGTCATAATTTTTCCATATAATTTCAGCACTTGCCGAGTGGACTATATCCTCAAAAACAAAATGAAAATGCACAGATATTATTGGCAATTATCACAATGCATTTTTATTCAAAATATTTATCCTCATTGAGAAAATCTAATTAATTTGTTAAAATGTAAATTTAAAAAACATAATTACACCTGGTTATCCCAGTGCTAGTGAAAGAATCAGATTTTATATACAGTAATGAAAATGCAAAAGAGAGCAATGAAATTCAAACATTGAAATCAAACCTCCTAACTTCAAAGTTATGGTTTTTATTCTGAATATATCTCTTGACCCATGAAGATTTAAAATTTACTACATAGAAAAATGTAACTGATTTTCATATTGAATTTCAAATTATTGTTGGATAATATTCAACTCACCTTCTCAGTTTTCTTATAGGCTTCTACTAAAAGAGATGCAAATATAGATTCTTTGACAGGCAAATGTTTCTGCACACGCTGATATGCTTTGTAAACATCCAAAAGTATGGTGATTCCACCTTCTTGAATACAGTTGCGGAGAGTTTGCAGAGCAAGAGACAAAGCTTGGCGGGATAACTGCTCACGTTCTGAATCTCTAAGGTACTTTCTAAAAAAAAAAAAAAAGGTAGAAAGTAAGAAGAAAATAATGTTTTTGTATTAAATAATACAATGCACTAAATCTTTCAGACATGCAAACTCGGTTTAATTTTAAGAAGTGTAAAAATTGCATTGTAATTGTTGAGTAAACATGGTTCACAACCTTTAAACAATTATTATATTACTTTACTTTTTAAAGCTTTGAAATTAATATTTGTTCTTTATAAATTTAAGCAACTACAGTGATACTCCGTTTATACAATTTTTCAGTTGTGCGTTTTACGATTGTACGTTTTTGCCCTTATACGTTCGTAATAAAAGTTCATGTAAGCCCGTATAAAGTTCCAATGATCCCGGTGAGGCGCGGGGCGACCTGCACAGAGAGCCCGGAATTTGTGTTACTCGAGCCGGCACGGTACAGGGCGCTCCCTGCTCTCAGAGCGACCTGTCGTTCGGCCGCTGAGGTGACTTCCCGCTAATGAAACTTGTAATATAGAAGCTCCACTGCCTACGTGTGGGGCCAAGACTGCGCGAGCCCCCGCATAGTGGCGCTAAGTTGGCTCCCGGGCCACCTCTAGCAGCGGAACATCGAAAAATTGCAGTCGGGTGCGTACAGGAGCTCTTTGAAGATCTCAGGAGGCGACGGCTAGCTCCGAGGGAAGGTCTAAGGTGTCCCCAGGGGAGTTAACGACATAGATGACCAATAAGTAAAGTTAGTGCACTGACTGTTTTACTCTCCGAAGGTCCTTTTGCTCGTCGCAATTATCATACAACATCCTTTCGATTCTTTACCATGGTGCAAACAACTAAAAACATGAAATTGATCGCTTTTCCGCGCAACGCAGCGAGTGTTGCCAGACTGTGGCGGTCATGCGCTTGCTGTCGCCCACGTAGATCAGGGATTTGACCCACGGAATCTCAAATAACATCAAGCATGATACCGAAGCAACCAGCTGCGAGTCGCCGCCGCCAGTTGCAGCCTACGCAGGACACGCACAAGTAAGGTCCCCATTGCGTGACAGCTACCTCCACCTCAGGGGAAAGATCTTCGATGATGACCTTCGGCCGACGATATTTTTTCTAAGCTGACCAACATTGTAATTTTTGGCTCTGAGGCTCTATGTTTAAATTGAAGTATAGTCCGCATTGAATCTGATTTTGCGTCCGCGATATTAAACGAAAAAGAATTTTTAAAAGTTGTTTGAGAGAGTGGCCATAAAAAGGTAGATATTGCTAAAGAACGGGGAAAACGATGGCGTAAAATATAGAATCTTTATTTTGCTCATAATAATCAATTTCAGTTATGAGTGTTTCGCACTTATACATTTTTTCCCCTTCGGTCCCCTGAAAAACGTATACGTGAAGTTTTATTGTATGTAATAATGGTTGCATGCTTTGCTTTTTATAAAAACTGCAAAATATAACATAATTATTGTAATTTTATTATAACATATGAAGTAACTGTAATGTCTATTGAGGGCCCAAGTGAAGTTTCCACTCTTTAGTCATGGCTGTGTCTTACTTGTCTGGATCAGGAGTTCGACGAAGCTGTAGGCACAGCTCAAGGAGCATGCCATGATCTTTCAGTTCTCTAAGAACATCCATCAGGAGAGATACACAACGACTCATATGAGATGCAAAATTTCCTGGTCGATCCACTTCAGAGACAGGAATTCGCCATACCCCCTGTATGTAATTGTTTTAAAAAAATTTCAGCTTACATACATTTCTTATCTCAAACTACAAACACAAAATAAGTAAATCACATTTTTCACGAATGTTTTCCAAAAAAAAAAAAAAAAAAGACAAATATTACACTATTAACTCTAAATGCTAATTGGAATTTCTTCAAAGTGCATTTTAATTTTAATACATTGCATAGCATCTACCATGGACATTTGTTGGTCTTATTTTTGTCTTTTAATGTATAATTTGTCTATTTCCTTATTAATTCTTATTAAGGTATCTTCTATTAAGGAATATGAATAGGGTACATTATCCATTTCAGAAATTGTATTCAAAACCTAAGACAGCAAATGTATTTAAAACGAGACACAAATTTAAAAATATTCAAAAACAAAATGAAAAATGTTTCAGAATCTCACATTACTAGGAATAGACAATTCCTGGAAGAATTAAGTAGGTAGCAATGATACTGGACCCACTAATACAAAATAGAAATCTGGTGGGGCGGTTTTTACAAGCGGACATTTACAGTCCACATTAAGGCTTTTGAAAAAAACCATTTGAGATATCATCTCTATAACCATATGGCTGAACATTTAACAATTAATGTAAGTGAAGTGGTTTACCTTCTACTGTTACACTACTATTCCTAACAATAGAAGCAATTTTGCAATATTATCTAATTAAACTAGATAATATAACAATTATAGAAATGTAATAATATTTATATTTTACAACAAATACTTACATTGAAAAAGTTGTTATTTTTGCGTTCTGCAAATAAACCTTGGAAGCAAGCACCTAAGGGTCGATTAGGAACAGCTGAGCAAGAGTAGCTCTCCAGAAGTAGATCACGACATTTTTTAACATCACGATGACTTTTACTTCTGAAGTAGTAATGAGTGAGTCTATACAATGATTTATAGTGCTGGGGAAAACGAAGCACACATTCTTCCAGTCCAACTATACAACACTGGATTAATTCCTCATACACTAAATAGAAAGAGAACACTTAAAATTAAATTACATTCAAGAAAACATCATTTGTTAAACACAATTTTGTTTTAATTATATGATTAAAATATTTGGAATTGCTTTTGAGATAATATTTCTTCAACTGAACATAACTGTTTTACTGAAGGTATATAACAGTTGTGCGTGAACGATGACATGTTGTTTCAAAAGGTCTACAATATATTTTATGAAAAATCTCTTCCTCACTTTAATGTTGCAATACTTGTAAAATCACACTAGATAGATATGATAAATTTGTTTGTTTACTTATTATCTCTAATTACCTTTTCCCCAATCAGAATCTGCCAATTTATCATTGGCAGGCGTGTCTGGAGGCAAGTCTGCAGTCTCATTTTGATTTTTTTCTTTTGATTTTTCAGTACTCGCAGCTACTGCAGTAGCTGCATCTGTAGACTGGCTACCCTCTGATTCATCTTCACTTGAATCACTGCTACTACTAACTGATTCACTAGAGTCATCACTGGATGAAGAATCATCGCTACTGCTAGATGAATTTCCAGCACTTGTTTCAGTTGTTCCTGTAGTTGAACTCTCCTGCGAGCTCCGGCGAACAGATGTCAGTTCTTCAGCACAATCAGATTTAGCAACTGCTTTTGGACTATCTTCCACGTGAGAAGCATTTTCCTTATCTATTTCTTTACCCTGACTTTCTTCATCCACAGACATACTTGAATCATCATTATCAGACACCTCACTAGTAACATCCTGTGACCCTGCAGATGTTTCCTCCTTATTCGGTGCCAATACTTCAGGAGCTATTCTATCTTTTACATTGTTTTTGCCTTCAGCATCTTTTGTTTCAGGTTTTAACTCAACAGATTCACTTCTCATTACATCCCTCTTTCTGTATGGACTTGACTCCATAGTAACACTTCCAGATTCATCAGATTCTTCTGATGCTAGAGTATCTGTCACATCTTCACTGTCCTTCATGTCATTTTTGCCATCTGTTTCATTTTCTTCAACCTTATCTAAGAATTCATTAGTGGGTTGCATCACATCACGGATAATATCTTCTAAACGCTTGTTATGACCCTCTTTGGGAATGATATCCTACAAAATTGAAAAGGAAAGAATTATAAATTATTTAAGGTTGATTAAATGTTTTAAGTTATTATGTTAACAGAAATTGTACTTAGGTAATCAGACCTCTCTGGGCAAGTTATTTTTAAAATGTATCTAGGCAAGCAGTGTCCTCAAGCCCCTTATAAAATATGTGTATAACTGTTTTATTCTTATGTTTTTCCACAACTAAAATCTCTCTTCTAAAAGAAGTGATATTTGTTCATAAATTAAGTTTTTTATACTCTTATTTTCTTCCTTACAGCTGAAATGACATACATATCTATTAAATTTGTAATTGTGCACAAATACTTAATATCAGGTGCAAAATCTTCACTCCCCTACAGGCAGATAAGTAAATAAATAACATTCTTTCAAACAACAAGTCATGTTGAGAATAATAACCACTGTTTGTGACTAAAAGAACATACAATATTCTACAAAAACTGCTTGCTCAACTACTTTATTCTAAACTGGAATAAATATTTTAATTGGTATTCACATTGATAGAAGGGAAATAAAAATCACAAAAGAAAAGACATAATCTTTTAGTTTAAGATAAATGATGGCAAAAGGAGCTCAGTGTCCAAGAGACATTGACTGCAGGGAAAAACTTAATGTTAATATTATTAATGTTAAGAGAAGGAGAGATAAGAGAGAACAGTAATATCAGGTAGCAATTATGTCATGTATTTCTTTTCTATGGCAATTAAAAAATGTTAAACACTTCATTTTTGCAATAACATCCACTAAAATCAAAATAAATAGATATTTATAAATGGGAACTTGCCTTCTGGTTTATTACTGTCTGGTAATATCTTTAATTTTTGCTTTATGACATTTTACAGCACTAACCTTTTCATCAAAATTAGGAATCCATTTTCCAGTTTTAAACAGAGAGCTCTTGTCCTCATCACTGTCCAAATGTCTGTAAAGAAAACGTTGATTTAAATTTTACATGAAAACAAATAATTAGCATTCTTTAATGCATTTTCAAGCATTAAGTCAACCAGATGTCAACAAGATGGCAGTCAACCAGACCAACAAAACACTCCACCTACCATTCCACAATATATATTTTCATTTGCAAAGCACTGAAATACAATGAAGTTAAGGTGCATATTGTCTATTTATACTCGGCACATCTTTAGCATAGAATAAAATCGGTGAGTCAATACAATATTGGCTGTCCTGGCATGGCTTGGCCACATGAAATTCCATGGCACTTAGCCCTGAAGAAAGAATGACAACCAAAACAGGTAGACAATTCTGCTTAGGACACCTAACACAGCCAAAATTTCACCGATTCCTGGCTGGATGTCTACATCTTCAATCAGTGGCCAGTGCTGTAAGTCAACAAAATAAGTGAAGACACATTCTGGGATGTATTTATTGCTGAATTTCTAGTGCTCTGTGAACTTTGACTACATATTCAGTGAAGTGTGATTATGGTAGAGTCATGACATATGGATGAACAGCCCAATCTCTTACGGTTAAAGAGATTTAAGTCTGCCAATAGGCACGCTACTGCTAGGAAAATCTTTCATAGATGTAACAAAACGTTGATTGATTGATTGATTGATTGATTGATGTTTTCATGCATGGTAAATTCATTAGTCCCTTAAGTGTACTGAATGTTCTTATCCTGTATAGTAGTGGTGTGCCTTCCCGGCTGGATGCTGAGATACGGCGCCATCCTACGTCGACTTCCGGGCGGATTTCCCTCTCCAGATATCTCCATTCAGGGGGACACCGCCCCAGCCGGGGCAATCTGTAAGCTCCTGAATGCTTTCCCGTCATGTTGCTACGATATAGCCTATGATGGTGCGAGTACGCGTACGAGGAGAGGATAGGACAAGGAAGAGGAAGGAAAGTTCGCTCGCAGTCCGTTTCTTAGAGTACTGCTCCGGCATTCGCCTGGAAATAATCGGAAGAACTACGGGAAAACTACCGATTAGAGTAGCTGGCTACTAGAATTTTGCTCCAGACAGCTGCTGGATTCTATTAATTAATTGTGTTACAGGGCTCGTCAACTGCTATCGACGTTAGGTCCTTAAGTGTGGTGCATGTTTCTCACGGGAGGTGTCGGTAATCTCCCATTGGATGATGAGATCTCGACGCCGACATACGCATCAACTTGCGGGGTTTCCTCTCCACCAGGTATCTCCCTTTAGAGGAAGCTCTCAGGGTCCGACTGATCTCCTGTGAAGTGTAATGTAATGTGTGTGATGTAATGTGTGTAGTTGAGGAAGTAAGGAGTAGGAAATGTTTAACAAGGAAGTGAAAGGAAAGATTGCGTGCGGTCTGTGACGCGTTTGTTAGGACACTGCGCAGTTTATTTTCTACTTCCATGTAATTGCTATTTACTTGTTCTTTTTTTTACTTTCTCCCATACTACGCAGATGTATGTATGGCAGAGAGAATCATACAATGCTACACCAAAAAACGGAGGGAATTTTTGGCAGAAAAGTCATATTAAAGGTCCCTGAAACCGAAAAAGAGGATAATTCTTGTTCATATTTGTAGCAAATTACTTCAACTACCACTTTTGAAGTCAGAAATCACGTCTTGTGGGTCCTTGATACAGAAAATTGGTTTACGGCAAAACGCCTGTCCGTCCGACCGTCTGTTGTCGACGCTAGGGAATAAATGCGACTTTCACTAAAATTGATATTTCTTGTAACGTTTGTAACGTAGCAAGGAGTTATGATGTCGTTTGTCTCCACGTAGCAACTGGATATCATGTTGCTCAGCCGCAGTAAACAGTCAAAAGTTGGTTAAAAAAAAATACTTTTTATGCAATAATTGGCATTTCAGAAACAAACACTTCAGAAACATGTAAATTGTTTATTACGAGTATTTACAAAATAAATGAATATATTTGTTCACAAAGAAAAATTATCACGGAAAAAGCAATTGAATTCTGTAAATTGAGGGTTTTTATATCTGTATTAATTTCTCTTTGTGATCAAATATATTCATTCCCTATGTAAATACTAAACAATTTATATGATTCCGGAGTGTTTATACTTTTCTGAAATGCAAAATTGGCGTAGAAAGTACTTTTTGAAACCATCTTTTAAGTGCTAATTGCGGCTCAGCCATTCAATATGCTTAAAATTGTCTTAGCTTGTTTTCAAAATTTCGTTGTTTTCTCCTTGGACACCTGTTTACGTGTATAGTATCCAGGAAGGAAATAACGAAATTTCGAAAATAAGCCCCAAAGTCAATTTTAAGCATATTTTGTCTAATAAACTCCTCCGAGATTTCGAATGGCTGAGCCGCAATAAGCATTCAAAAGTTGATTTAAGAAAAGGCTTTGTATGCAAAAATTTTATTTTCAGAAACACAGGAACACTCCAGAGACATGTAAATCCCTATATAGTATTTGAGTAACTCCTCAAGTGTGCGGATGTGCGGTTCCGTCACTCACGGTTAAGGCCCATTCACAATGCAAACAAACATAAGCATAACGCATAGACGTAAACATTAACATCAGTGATAGACTGAAGTATTCACAATGCCTAAAATAAACGTAAGCAAAATAAGACTTTCTATTGGCAGTGAGACATTCTAATTTACTATTGGTTGAATGTGAGAATCGAGGTATCAAATGTGTCCATGGCACATGGCTAGTTCTGTCGACTTCGATCCTATTTCGATTCTCGATTTTTAGTTAACGTACTGAGATTGGTTCATTTCTTATTCCTTACGTCTTACGTGTCTTGCGTATGCGAACGCGTTGTGAATGAGTCCACTAGTGGACGTAGTCCTAACTTTCATGTGAACGCCATGCTTATGCTTATGTTTCCATTGTGAATGGGCCTTTAGACCACTTCCCGTTCACCAATTGAGATATATGATGTGTCATTCGACGACGAGAAAGTCGAAGGGAAAGACGAGGGGAAAGAGGGAGAGGAAGAAGGCATTACTTCCTCAGGCATTACGCTTTGAGGAAGGTCGCAGAATCGTGACCGAAACGTCGGCACCTTCGCCATGGACGCGGCGTCACCCGGACAGCCTAGTAAATACAGATAAATGTGTGTAGGCCGACGTCGTGTAGTTTTAAAATTTGATTGAAAAAAATGTACTATACAACTCTTGACGAAATCAATTTTGTGAAACAATTACATTACCTAAGTTCAGGAAAGACAAAGGTAGAAATCGCGTTGAATATCACAAAATAAGAGCACAATTTAAGTGGTTAGTTCGCAACCCTGACAAACATCTAAAGTGAACAAAGAGGATTCTGAACCGGAGAAAGAAAAGTCCGACAACCGAAGAAAGTTTAAAGTGTCGGCGACGCCATATTCAGCTACTTGTTTATTATTTACAAAAGAAATTAATATATTTGTTCACAAATAAAAATTAACACAGAAACATTAACATATCTCCAAAATGGATATTCTTCTATTACTTTAAAGGAACTTGAGGCCTTCTGACTTTGAAACGGATATTTCGATTTTCAGGAATAATTTACAATCAATATTACCTCAAAAATTTCCAAAAAAGTATTCTTCTGACGCGTGTGGCAGTGTAGTGCGTGTAAGTGTGTGTACGGAAAGGAGGAAGGAAAGATTGCGCGCGAGCCTTGGCCCGTTTGTTAGGGTACTTCTTCGGCATTTGCCTGGTAGAGAAATCACGGAAAATTACCGACCAAAGCAGCCGGCCGCTACAACCTCCAGGCAGCAACTGACAAGCTAGTGTCGAAAATCCTTTCACGGTCGGGACGCGAACCCCAAGACCTCTCGGCCAGAGGCACTGCAGTGAAACCAGTTTAAGCCCTGGGCCACCTTTGCCGAACCATCTGAACGAACTTGATTCTCCGCGAGCTTGAAACGGATATTTGGATTTTTGAGGATACTTTACATTGTAATTCTTCAACATTTCCGAAATATTGGGAGTGTTTAAACAATTATTTTCTTAAAAACGGTTATAATTTTTTTTCTCTGAATTTTTAAATGGGGGTGTAAAAACTGGTGCTGGCACTATTTTGGGCGAACTCCCTCTATTTTCGAAAGTTGTAAAAAACAACATTGCAAAAGTACAACATTGTGGATATAGTTTTTTTTCTTAGTAATAAAATGTGTTCTTCAAAATTGGATCTTTACATAATGTCACGTACTTTTTTGAAAATATAAGCAATTTCGCATATGGTTTTGGAGATCAGCACTGAAGATAATAATGATAAATAATAATAATAATAATAATAATAATAATAACAACAACAACAACAACTTCAAAAAATGAAACAATGATTACCAAGGAAATAAATATAAAGCGCGGAATCTTTCAAGGAGATAGCCTGAGCCCTTACTGTTCTGCTTTGGCCCAATGAACCCGATCGACCACCCTAGAAACCTGAAATTAGGTTTCGAAACTGAGAGCACTGAAAGATTGCAGATAGCCCATTTAGCGATGTGGACGACATTTCAAATTCTACTCTGCGTACGATGCGTAGGCTTAAAAATTCAAATGAAAGCTACTGAAGACTTCTCCAAGGATTAATATGCGAACTACATTGATAAATGCAAATACAAACAAATACAGAAGGGTAAACTTCAATAGTGAGCTCACATACGAGACCAGTTGATGGAGAAACAATCACTTCTCTGGAAGCGGCATGAGCTTTTACAAATACCTTGGATACAGCAAGAAATATGATTGCACATCCATTCAACTGAAGGGGAATACTTAAAACAGAGCTTACAACCGACTCAAGTCAGTGTTTAAAAACTTCCCTCAACTCTCGAAACCTCACGGCTGCCATTAACCTCGTATGCTATACCCATTATCACCTTCTCGATGGGTATTCTTAAATGGTCCACAACCGACCTAGAGGAATTGGAGAGACTTGCTAAGAGTTCAAATGACACGCTTCGGTTGTCACCATCCTAAAAAGTGCGATTCAGAGGTCATACTGCCTCG